AAATTGCGAAAAAAGTAATACCCACTTTTTTTTTTTATAACTTTTAATCCCCTAAAAAAAAAAAAAAACCTTCCAAAATACTTTAGATTTTTTTTTTGAGACAATTTTTAAGGGATAAGTTTCACAAGACTTTTTTTTGTCTACAATTTATTTATATTTATTTATTATATAATATATATTTAATAAATTTTTTTTAGAATCTTATTAATTTTAAAAATAAATAAATGATAAATGAGTATCACGAAATAGTTTTAACTATAAAATTTATTTTATTTTTTACCAAAACATCAAACCATAACGATAACATACAGTATTTTATTTTGGGCTGGATTGATAAGTAGTGTGCCAGATTATGGCGCCAATTTAGAAATTCTTTAAATTTCCATACATTGATTGTTATTTATGCTTTATTGACTTTAATTTTGTCACTATGAATTTTTTGAATAAATTTATATTCATGTGTTTATTTATAGATATTGTTAGAAGTGAGCGAGAAAAAAAAAAATCCCAGTCAATTTAAACACAACTCCTAACACTTATATCTGCATTGTTAAAAACATGGATAAGGTGTTTATGAAACTGTCGCATTTGCTCATAGGCCAATCCAGCTCGACCTGCCGGACGGATTGTGTATTACCGAAGAACCAAGGGAAACTGTTTCACCGTTCAAAGAGCATGAGGTGCATACACTCCACTCATACCACACTTTCGCGTGATTTGTCAATCTCCAAAAATGGATTTCTAATTTTGTACCGGCTGGCAAGTATATCGGCGTCTGAATTGAAAAGAGGGCGTCAATCATTTTTAAATGGTGTCACGAAGGATATGAACATAATAAGGTGACAGACACTATGAAAAAAACTATATCAATAGATACGTTACTCTTAAGGGAAAGAAGATGGGAAACCAACTGAACATATCTTCCGAATGTGTGGCCGGAAGGATACTCATCAGAATGTCCTTGTACAACACCGATTCGAAATATCCGGCAATACCGTGCAACAAGCCGCTTTCTTTTATTTCGAACACTTGCTTGGAATAGCGAGTGTTGTGAAAATTGTTAATCGGCATTTCTATAATTTGACAGGAAGTTACATTTCATTAACAAAGAGTAAAGTCTCTCACTATCTCCCAAATAATTAAGACACTTATGACGTACTATCATCATCAGTCTTAATCGACTTGTTAGGGTGCTCGAATTTCCATATTTTTTGTGGCTCAGCCAATTCCGTGATAGATTGAAACATCACGACATACGGAGTCTCAAAATGGGCAAGGTCCTTGTAAGCAGCAACTTCGTTATAAAGTTTGGTCGAAGAGAGCGGAGAAATAAAAGTTGTATATGATGCAGGTATGGATATTCCGCCAACTTAACAGGAAAAAGAAAGATGTCGTGACATATCATCTTGTCGCAAAATTGAGCATCATAACGACTTACGTTTCAGGAACTTTTGTGCGCCATCTAAACATTCTGGGGACAATTCGTTATCTCCGAATGAGCCTAAAAGTTCGCTGACAAGTATATCTGCCTAGGATTATAATACAATCAAATTATTTTTTATAGTGAAATGTGACATTGAGAGACCTTCACAAAGAATGTATGGTATAAACTTACCTTTTCTGGAGCTTTCCAGCGGCGCATGTCGGAAAATACAATTGTTACTCTGTCTCCCCACACATCTGCTTTCATATTCTGTAGACTAGAAAAGATCACATCACGATCGGGTTCACTTGTTCAAGTAGAGCAATGTCTGAATGAAAATGAACATACGTGACAAAGGCATTCGGATTCTTTTCAACGGCATATACCCTAACATGCTTTTGAGCTTTGTCCGCAGCGAACAGACTGCGAGTGACCAGAGGCCCACGACCTGCTCCAAGCACCATTATAACCCTTAAATTTTACGTAAATCGAACGGACACAAATTAGCTAATATTGGGGCAACATAATTATTCAATACAATCATCAATGAATTTACGTTGGTTCCTCAGAATCCGGAGACACGTCCATGAGAGCGTGATATATCGCCTTTGCACGAATTGTCAAACGTATCAGAGTAATGAAATATGGGTGAAGTCAACACACGCAGATTATAATCAAAACCAAATACTTCGTTAAATACCGAACGCTTGTGAATTATCCAGAAAGAGGTGCCAAGTCAATTAAATCCATTTCCACGTTTCATACCTTCTCGTATAATACATATTTCACAGGGTCCTTTTCAAATACTTCGTAGGTGGATGAATCTAGATTGTCCATCAAAGGCTACACAGAGATTGTACTTTATAAAGTTAATTGAACTCCATCAGCAGGGCAACATCTCAAGATTTCAAGTGTGCTTTATTAACCTGTAAGGGTGACTGCAGAAAGTCCTGATAACCCGTGGAAAATTTTTCAACCTGGGTCAATTCTGGCATAGTACGATTCAGATAACGAACATATTCCTGGTATGACGCAAGACCGCCTTTCGCATCCTGTGACTCCCTCATCTCATCCAAAATCATAAAGTTTGCCTTACGCTGAATGAAAAAAACGTGGATTACAACCAGTTCACCGAATTTTAAAACAAATCGTTGATTATATCGAACCTTAATAAACTTTTTAACAAACGCTTGGTGCCTTTTGCTTAACACTGGATATCCCTTGACATTGGTTAGAAAAATTTTCGTTGGTAATATAATGGTCCTAACGGGTTCCGCGAACCATCGATCGAGAATCTTATCATCGGGGAGCTGTGCTGTAACTTCCAGAGCTACAAGAAGTATGAGAGAGAGGACGCTCTTAACAGAATCATTTCAACCAATATCAAACAGTAATGATAATAGAACCATGGTTAATCACCTATGAACAATTTTGTAGGATGTTCACAGAATGTTCTGAATTTATTCCATCTTTCCCAGGTGACAGTAACTTGTGTCTCGGACATCTCGGTCTCGAAGGTTAAAGGAACTTTCATCCAGACCTAAAGAACGAATTCATTTTCGGTCTAGGGCACCAAACGATTTCGTTGAGAACAATTTTGTTTTCGCACATACATTAGTGTACGTCAGCGTTTCGAGTACAGAGTTCAAACTTCTTGCATAATTCGCTAATGATTCAGTCGGAAAAGGAACTAACACAGCAGAAAAACCCAAATGTCCAGCCCAGGAAATCTGTTGTTTCAGGGCCTTTTCAAAAAAATAGGATGGATCGAAATGAGGAAGATACTTTAAACGTGATAAAACAAAGAAGTGGTATTTACTATTTCCGAATTTATTCGAATATCATGGTCTGGAGAGTCCAAATCTATCCAGTCAGAGACTTTACCGACAGCATAATCGACCAAAGCTGAGTGAACAGCAAGTAAGCAACTTGGATTAAAGATTGACGAATACTTGATTAAAGCAAATTCAACAAACCGGCATTCTTCAACACCAGATCCTCGCTGGAAAATACATATCTTTTTCTCCATTCCTCCATGGCTCTCGACACCGTTATATCGTTAAGTCGTTGATCAAACAGGAAACGTCTATAACTTGGAAGAGTGATTGGGAGGGTAATGAAGTCATAACCAACTTCCCTTGCCTCTTTACCGGCCAAAGAAGCATCGGGATCTTCTTGTAACCGGTATAAACCAACCGAAATGGGTGGAACGTTTGAATTGGTAGGAGGGGACACGGACATTTTTTTGATCAAGGAAAAAGAAAGATGTCGTGACATATCATCTTGTCGCAAAATTGAGCATCATAACGACTTACGTTTCAGGAACTTT